GCTTAGGGGTCGGTATTTCTTAACTAATCGTCGCCATAATAATGGTCATAAACAGCAGCAATATTAGTCGAAATATTGGTGGCAGTCACCACGGTAGCTGTATTCAGAGTAACAGAAGCATCAGCACCAGCACTCACAGCAGTTCGCTTCGGCTGCAGCCGAAGTGGTAAAACAGAACTAAGAACAAGTCGTGTGGCAGGCGTTACGACGTCAAAAGTAGCAAGAATACAAACAGTGATCGCAGCACGATTAGAGATACGTAAGCTATGACAGCAACACCAACCACAATCACAAGCTGGCGGCAAGACTATCGACGGCAGTAGCCATACTAGTAACAGGGTGTAACACGAATGGCGACCACCACCATCATCATCGTCCTCATCAACATTGGCCACATAACGAGAGTCAAGGCAATCGACATCTTAGCAGTAAGAAGGACAGTCATAAGAATCTACGAGAGGCTCAGACCATAGTATTGAAAGTAGCAACATAGACACAGCAGTAGCAACTGTGGCAGCAAGCAAAAACATGACCAACATCTCTGATAGACTACTCTCACAGTATCGAAAGCACTACAATTACAATAATCACGACAAGACCAATAAGTAAACTCTGATGACAATGAAGATAACCCCACCCATACTGGTGCTTCTACCACGACCACACGACGACGACTACCAAGTAATGGCGATCATGATGGAAGAATAACGGAGAAAACAACGATGCATGCATCGGCGCTCGCTCCTGGCTGTGTGCAGGGGGGTCGCGGGCCAAGTTGTCGTAAGATGCCCTCGAGCTGGTGCGGCCGCTCAGCGCGGACGAAGCCCTCCGCAGGTACTACAAGTCATGGCGAGGTTCAGGATCAGTCGCGACGTCAAAAGTCATCTAGTTCGACATGCTGTTGCAGCTGATGAGCACGTTTATCAACGGCCGCCTGCCACTCCTCCAAATCCGGAAGCAGAGATTCCGCTGTCTCTACCTGCATGCTGGGTATTTCGCTGAGACTCCAGCACCGCAGCCAGTGTCCCTATGTTCCCGAATCCGGGGGCATTCTGAATTCTGGGATGCTCCAGCACTGCCAGGCCAACATTCAGCACTGTCAGCATGCGAGGATTCATGAGCCCGTGGAAGCGCGCCCTGCTCGATTCCATATTCCTGCTTCACTCTAACCGTAACCCCACCAGGACCAAACTAGCTTGGCCCCGCATGCCTCTTCGGAGGCGGGCACCTGACAGAGCAGTGCCAGGCTCTTAGGTCGCTGTTTATCCTTACTCCGAGAGGTTTCTTGAGACCGGCAAGGGTTCAACAGGACAGTGTCCTGGTCGGGCTTGGCTTTTCCTCGCCGAACGGAATTCCTGGCGGTGCCTTCTCCGTGGTGGGAAAGCGGACAGTGGCCAACAGGTAGCCACTTTCGTGCAGGCTGGCCTCCAATGCAAATGATGCGCTTGGTGCTTCTTGGGTTTGTCATTCGGAGGTTTTTCGGGGCTCCGGGCACGCAGACCAAACGCTGCCGGCCTCCAAAATCTTAAATGGCCTGCTTGCGACAATCTGCAGCTGAAATCTGCCATCGTGGGTCTGCTCGCAAACCTGCACAAGGCTTCAGCAGGTGCATGTGGGCTCTCAAGCTGCGATCCTCTACTCATCGGCATGGCTTGCTGTCACACTGACGAGCGAACTCTGTCCTATGGTGAAGCCAGGTCCTCTATGACAGCTTCGACGCCGTGCTTGAGATGACTGCCACTGACATCAAATCCTGCGAACACAATCAGGCTTTTTCTTCGACGCCAGCTTCCAGCCCTCTTGCCATAAGGATGACGACCCAGTGTAAAAAGTTCTAAAAGAGTAGCACTACTAAAGGAAGCCACGCAAGCACCGTCGACACAGTCTACAACCCGCGCGATTGCAAGGCTGCCTGTACTACTGACCAGGCCAGAGGTATTGGCAGTAACTGTAGGAAGAATAGCGAATTCGGCTCGAAGCCAATGACAGAGCATGCAATACAAGCATGATAGCTGCAGCAACTGCAGTTTGGCTTTTAGCATATACATGAACTATTGGCAATGGCAAAGGTAGCGATGATTATACTACGAGTAGTACGAGGCACAGTTCCACTGCGGACATCACAAGGTGACAGTCGATTCCAGCTTAGGTATCCTACGACTATCATGAATAACACTAGAAATCACGAGCATCGATTGTGAGCATGGACAGCACGGCAGTATCGGCAAGACTGGAACTAGTAGGAGTAAGGGTAAGGCTTGTGAAAATCTTGACAACAGTAACTTGAGCTCGGAGGTTGTAGCATCAACCCCGATGGCAGGGAGCAGTTCATCGCAAGCCTCAAGCTTCCAACTTCTGACACACTCTGGCACCCAGCAGGGTCCGACCAAACCAAAGCGCCGACCGCTTTGCAGCGCGACGCGCACAAGCGCGCGATATCTGGCCGAGGGCAGAGCAGAGAAGGGGTGCGCTTCCGGGTCGGAAGACGAAATCATAATGATACTATAATATTACGACTACTACTACTATTACTACTACTACTACTACTACTACTACTACTACTACTGCTACTACTACTACTACTACTACTACTACTACTACCACTACCACCGCTACCGCTACTACTACTGCTAGTTAGTACTACTACTACTACTACTACTACTCCTACTGCTACTACTACTACTACTACTACTACTACTACCACCGCTACCGCTACCACTACCGCTA